TGGAGGGAGATCCCAGCCCCCCCGGCTGGAAGCAAGTTTCCCATGTATTCCCTCAACAATGGCCATGCCCAGCGTTGTCTGAGCTGCTCTTTGTGTGCTCCCGGCAGGAAACGCTGTCTTGTCATGCAGATTGCATTCACCCGCCCCGGGTTGCGGGGGACCTCCCCGCAGCGAGCCCCTCGCTTGCTGGCAGTTGTCTGGCTTTGATGAACCGGCACGGTCGGCTCTGAGTGCACTCTCTTCCCTACCTCATCGTTGCTGATGGGCACCGAGGGGTGGAGGAGGTTCCCAATCTCCCGCAGGCTCTCAAAACGTTCTGCCTCCAGCCTCACACGCTCGGCATCACACTTGAGGATGGCTTCATCGATGAGGAGACGGACTTGCTTGATCTGGGATACCTGCAGAGTCTGTGCAGGCAGCCGGGTGAGGTGGGAAAGGGAAGAAACCATCAGGGAGAGGGGGCTGGCAGCTAAGCACGATTAATTGCGGACGCTCGCTCAACCGACACAGCTTCTGGAGCAAAACCATGGACTGAACACATCAAACAACAGCCCCGGAGGACAAAGGACTGACTTAAGTCAGGCTCTGAAAGGGCCTGAGCGAACTATGGTGTCACACAGCGCTTGGCAGGGATGAGGGGGAGCAGTCAGCTCCCATGGCAGCAAAAGCTGGCCAATGCCATACTCATTTAACATCGCAGTTAACGAACTGGGAAGGAGAACGGGCAAGGAGGAAGGGACTTACAGAGGACATGTAATGACTGAGGCTGCTCAAATCCCCCAGGGAAGTGCAGGACGAGCCCTGGGCTGCTGAGCTGCCACGGGACGAGGCTGAAATGGTCTTTAGATGAAGGACACTAAGCAAGAGCTGACTATTGCTGGCGTGGGATAAGGGAAATAAGGATTCTCCTGCCAGGGGGTCTGGGCAGTCCCCCCCTCACTTGGTGCTGGGGCTTTGGGCACCTCACGCTGCCAACTTGGGCAATTACAGGCAAAGCTCTGGACAAACTGGGTGGACCAGTGGCATGGAGCGGGGAGATGGGGTCAGACTCACCCCCAGGACGTCAGCAGTGAGCTCGTCGAGGTTCTGTGCGCTCTCCGGTACAGATTCGTCTGTCCCCACTGGCTCTTTTTTCTGTAGAGGGAGGGAACAAAAAACCCAGCAGGATTAAAGAGTAAAGCTCAAGAGTAAAAATATTCCTCGATGATGTGAGGGAGAGGTCTGGAGAGCAGAGACCTGGGGGAAATGCCGCCAGTTAGTAACATCCCGCCAGTGAATTGCTGCCAGGACTGTCTGCCTTCGTGCCTCACCTTCATCTTGTCTCCGATCGTTTTGCTGCACAGATTCTTCAGCTTGTTCAAGTTATCGGCACGAAACCTGCCTAGAAAGCAGAAGGGAGGGAACCATCAGCCAGCTGCACAAGTGGGAGTGGGGCTGGGATCCCTGCCTGGCACTGAGAGCAGCCGCAAAACCTCAGGTGGAGGCAGGAGAGGGGATGGCAGCTCCAGGGATGCCCAATGCCGCTGGCCTCGGGTGTTTCGGAAAGACAGAGCGGGTTTGACCATGTGAGAGCACAGTGTGGGGCAGAGACTTGGGGAGCAGAGGACTCCCACACAGGGGTGTCATTTGACACCACACCAGGCCATGGAGATGAGCCACAGTCCCACCAGGACCCCCACACCAGGCTGGAGCCACCAAGAGCTGAGCGGATCCAGGGCTCTGGGGCCACGGTGATGAGATTTGGGCTGTTCAATAAGGGGACTAGAGATGTCCCCTTGGTGACACCAGGGCTGTGAAGGGCAGAGCCCAGGACACAACCATCCCTTCCTGGCAGGGCAGCCTAAATCAGAGACACACCAATGCCAGGGGTGTGTCACCCCAAAAGGGTGACATCCCCATCTACAGGCAGGATCAGACCCACGGGGCTGAGCAGGGGGAGATCCAGAGTCAGGAAACACAAAGGTTAACAACCAGGGAACAGCAAAGATGACGCTGGCAGCCTCCCATGGACCCCACGACACCAGCAGACGCAGGATTGCATCAGCCGGCTGCTCACTAGTGCATCCTGCCAGCCCTGCAACTCACGGTTACGCGCCAGCGCACCCCTCTACACCACCCACTGCTGCTAGGATGGGCTGGAGCCCCGTGAGGAGGGGGCCGGGGAACAGCCCCCACTGCTGGCCTGGAAAGCTGGCTGGTCCTGTGGGATGAAAGGCCCTCGGATAAAATTAAGGCAGCTACAACGGCACAGTCGGAGCCAGGGGACGCGCCGGGCGTGATTAAGCAGGGCCGGGCTCATTCACATCAAGGCAATGGGATTAAAAGGATGTTTAAAGCTGCCTCTTTCATCCCGTGGCGGCGGCGGCGAGGGGGACCGAGGCGCCCTGGGAACTGCGGGTTTCTGGGGCACCCAACCCTCCTCGCCTCCCACCACACCCTCCTCAGCACTCCGGCACCCACAACCAG